TCTGAAACTTTGCACATGACGGGCAAGGTAGCCCCTGGTAGTCATGAGTTGGTAGGGGACCCGTCACAGCGGAGAGCGTTTGCTGCCGGCCACTTCTGAGTCCCCGTGTCTCACCTACCTGCCTGAGCCTGCCAGCACCTTTCCAAGAACAGGCAGAGCTGTCAGTCACACAGACTGGACACACAAGCAGAAATCCCACTTCCTGATCAGCGTGAGCAAAGTCCCAAGGGAACAGACATAAAGGACACTCTTCCAGGACATTTTCTTGTGCAACCTGAAAGTTAGGAAACCACTTTTCCTGCACTTCTCAGGCTCCGGTCAGCACGCGGCCGGCTGGGAATGCAGCTCCACCCCAGGAGTTTGGCTGCCAGTGACCGACACGCATCTCTTCTGGTTTGGGGCACATTCGGGCCACATGCCAAAGACTCAGGCCTAAAACCCAGGAGTGTAAAAGACACTCTGAGCAGTGGGTGGCGAGCCAGCCCGGTCCATTAGACAGCACTCCCGGCCGGGAGTCTAGGTACTTAGAGCTCCCATCTTGCGCCAGTGAGACCGCAGGCAGCCCGTTCACTGTGCGCAGCTCAGCTTCCTCACCCGCTTCAGACACAGGGATAAAGCTTCATGGCTTACTAATTTTAAAATCCCACTGACCTCCCGGGGGATAAGGGCTCTCTAGATAGAGGTGCTACCTTAAGAGGCCCAAGGATGTCCTGGCTGCCTTCCAATCCCTCAATATGTTCCCACTGACAACAAAACAAAGGGAAAAAGCCACCTCTGTCCTCTGCAAAACAAGCCTACAACCCAGCAAAAGTCTGGGTGAAACTCCTGAACTTTCCGGAAGTGGGGTCTGATTTCAGGGGACCCTGGAATATGTGACGTCATCAGAAGTGTAACCTCCCTATCCACTGCACAGGACTGCAATGCAGGTTAAATAAAATTAATGTGCATAAAAGGCAGAGCACAGGCCTTGATACTGATAAAATGTTCAGTAAGTGTTTTATTATTGTGATTATGGAACAAACTTTCGAGACTCATCGTTATGCCACTGCCAAACTCCACCTGCCCCACCAGCCACAGATGCTAACAAGGCCAGGACATCTAAACTTAAAGAAGTGCCCATGCCCACGTGCGACACCCCGTGTGGCACCCCATCTCCTCCACCAGGCCTCTGCATGGCGGAGAAGGTGGAGTTGGAGTTGGGGTTACAAGTCGATGGGGAAGACTTGGGGCTCGAGCAGCTCTGCCACGGAGCAGTGGCCTCCGTCACAGAAGTAACGGGAGGCCAGCTGCATGTGTCTAGGAGAAATCATGAGCTGTTTAAGTGCAAAGTCAAGAAAAAGTTCAGGGCCCCCTGACTCCCTCCCAACTCCATCGGGGAGCTGGGCTGCTTCTGGTTTCCCTAGATCTTCTGCCCCCCTAAAAAGAAAACCCCGAGTCCCACAGTAATTGCCTTAACCGAAGCTCCCCGCCAAGCTGGCTGACTTTTACGCTGCAAACTTTTTCTTGGATTCAGCAATGTTTACTCTTCCAGAGTAAGAATGAGAAGTTTGGACTGTATCTCCCCCACAATCCTTAATCCTGATTAGCCACTAAAAGATAACTGACATCAACGCTGACAACCCCGTCCCAGTAAGACTTTAACACCTGCCTTTCTCAGTGAAACGTCCTTAAAAAATAAATCAAGGAAGAATGCCCGGGCGTTCGAGGGCTCTGGCCCGTGTTTGGGCTGCGTTAAAGCTAGACATTTCAGAAAGTGGTTGCAACAGAGCTCTTGAGTGATTCTTCTGAAACAAACGCTGAGCAACTGTAATTTGTAAACTGAGTAAAAACAATGTATTCTTGACTTAAAGCCTGCCAGATAAATTCATCAGGTGTACAACTTGGACAAATTCCTCTCTCTAAGAAGGTTCCTTTGTGGGGATACATTCGAGGCAGACCTGTTCTCAGGAGCACTACTTCCATTTGAGACACAAAAAGGTTTCGAAATCCCGCACATTTTAAACTCAGTGGCAGAAAGAAACGGTGGCAATGCAGGGATAGCTTTCTAACGACTTATGTTTGCAAGCTGAAGGAAACCTGCTCCTTTACCAAGCAGCTCTCATTTTCAAGGGATTTAATCAAATAAATGTAAGGGAATGGTGTTTGGCTGACAAGGAAAAGAAGAAAACAAAGATAATGTTTTGTCCCCTACAGGTTTATTTGATTTCACTGACATAAACTATTTCAAACTGAGCAGTCTCAAGCTTTCCCCAGTAGGCAGAATGAGATCCCATAAACTTCCTGGGTTCTACTGGGTTTCTGCGCTTCACTTTCTCAGCAGATGTATTTCTAGGCAAACATCAAGACCTCCCTGGAAAGGAATCTGGATTCTGGAAAGGCTTTGGCAGGAAGACGATCATCTCTTAAACGTAGCCTGCTCTAAGGAAGGCATCCGGGTGCTTCTGGCCTGTGGCCTCTCCAGCACTAGGCAGGGGGTTGGAAAAGCTTTCGAGAAAACGGAAGCGAATGTCACCCAAGTCGTTTCCAGACCTGCCTGGCCCAGCCCTCCCACGGGCCTGGGGGTCAAGATGTATCTCCACTTCTGCCTGGTATTAATCAGCTCGGGCTGCCACATGAAAACACCACAGACTAGGGGCTTACACGACATTCGTTTCTCATAGTTCTGGAGGCTGGGAGTCCTAGATCCAGGTACAAGCAGGTTTGTTTCCTGGTGAGGCCTCTCTTCCCAGCTTGCAGACGGCTAAACTTCTCGCTCTGTCCTCGTGTGGGAGAGACAGACTCACATCCTTCTTCTCCTCTTCTTAGAAGGATACCTGTCCCGTTGGATCAGGGTCCCATCCTATGACCTCATCTGACCTTAATCACCTCCATAAAGGCCCTATCTCTAAATATGGTTACGTTGGGGCTTGGGACCTGAACATGGGCGGGGGAGGGGGAGACAATTCAGGCCATCACACTCATTCTTTCGTGTGCTGTGGTCAGGGGGACAGAGAGACTTCCGGTGGGGCCAGTACGATCTACAAAGCTCACGAGGCGATCGCTTTCAACACTGCCTGTGAGGGCTGGCTGATAGACCAGACAGGAATAATGGAGAGCAACCAAAGACAGAACTTCAACATGGATTTTTTTTCTTTTTTACTAACTAGGTGGGGGAACAGTTAAGTAAATAAGGGCTTGACAGAAAGTCCTGTGGCGTCTGGGATAGGACAGTTTCTCCACAACACAGGACCATCCTGTGCTACAGCAGACATTTGGTACCCACTGGCTCCTGGTGGAAAATGCCAGGAACGCCCCACGGGTTTTCTAACAGCCCCCAAATCCCCACCCCCGCACTTCCGTCCTCGCCCTGGGTAGGTGGCACCACTCTGGCCCGAGAACCACGGAATTAGCAACTGCTCCAAGGCTCCTTTTAGCTTCACAGTCGCACAGTTTCATGAAATTATATCCCCTGATCATGTGAACAGAGCCTAAAATAGTACGCAGTCTACAGTGTTAGACTGTCCTTCAAGTGTTAGCCGTTGGCTTTAAACTCCCGGCTAAAGATCACAATGTTGAAACTGTCTGGGGCTTGGGCCTTGGGGTCTCTCTCTCTCTCTCTGCATTCATTCCCTTGGGTTTGACATCCGGTCTTAAGGTTTTAAATACCATCCATTCATTGAACACTTCCAAATTCATATTCTAGCTAAGACCTTTCTCCTGAACACCAGACACATTTCTCACCACCTACAAAACAGGTCCACCCACACAGCGATGCACTAACATGTCCAAACTTCCCCAAACCTGCTTCACTCCCAGCTTTCCCCAAATCTCAGTTACGGTAACTCCAACTCTTCCCTTGTTCTGGCCACCATCCTTGGTACCTTCTTCTAAGCGGTATCCCTCCTCCAACCCATCAGCACATCCTGCTAGCCCCACCTTTGGAAGATGTCCCATCTGACCACTCATCACCACCCCCAGTGCTCCTGGTTACCTTCTGCCTGGGCAATCTCGACAGCTTCCCACCAGGGAGAGGCGAGAAACAAGTAGTCCGGAAAGGCGCCTTCAGAATCCCCATCGCTTTAATTTGCTTTTAAGTCTTGACAATTTATTTGAAATCTCAAAGCAAGGTAAACAAGAACTTTTCTTTTTTTTTTTAAGTTGAGAAACCATGCTTTTTCCCAACACAAAGAAAAGATAAATGTTGGAGGTGATGCATATCCAATTACCTTGACTCCATCCTCTCACATATATAAACTATCACATGTATCCCCAAATTATATAAAACTATGATATATCTAATTTTAAAATGCACACACACAAAACTCTGTTTCCACTATCCTTCCTAATATCTAAGAGAGCCTAAAACATCCCATGCGTAATATTTGGTATTTCACTCGCAGCAGGCTTTTCTAGGTTTCCTGGTTTCACGTAAATATTTCTTCTTGGCACAATATTTCTTATGCACTTTAAAAGGTAAATTAAATACAATCCAAGAGTTTTTTTGTTTGTTTATTTGTTTGCGAGCCTCTGACCCGCTGAGCCCCTATATCTGTCCCTAAGGGCAACAGGGGCAGATTGTAATGGCATGTTTTCTGATCCTGGGAGAATAAACACGGTGTGGTTATTTGTGGCTCACCTTGAGTTCACTTGCCCCCTACTGCTTAAATATGCCCCTTTCACTCTCCTTTATTCCTTTCTGATTCTTCCCCTCATTTAGAGATTCACTGTATGCCAGGCACCACGCTAAGCGAATCACTCACGCAACAAACATTTGTTGCATTTACTGAGTGGGGATCTGTCCAGGTAACAACCCTGCACGTAACAACTCACTACTCTGATGAGCAAAGACAGACAAAGACAGAAACAGGTGAAACGCATGGTGTGGGGGTGGCGACAAGAACTAAAAACTGAGTGGGGCGGGGGCTGCACTCCTAGAGAAGTGGTCTGGGGACAGCTCACTGAGGTGGCTCCTGAGAAGAATCTCGGGAAGGAGGAACCAGCCCTTCCTTGCACACGTTGTGTTCAATCCTCCCAGGTTACAGAGGGAGTCATGTTATGTCATCTTGAAGATGACAAACGTCACAGAGTTCAGAACTGGAGGGTCTAGGATTTCAACTCAGGTCTTTGGGGCTCCCGAACCGTGTTCTTCATTAATCTGCACTTGCACTGCCTTTGGCTTTGTCACAATGGAAGGCGGAGTTCCACTGTGCAAGCGTTTCTGTAGATCTACATACACAAAGGCAGAGACCCCAGAGATAAAAAGGAAAAGGGAAAGATTTTTAGATGGGAAGGTCAAATTCTTTAACAGCGCTCTATTGGACATACTGGGGGAAAATTCAAATAGGTAACTTGATCTTCTTAACCTGACATTCAACAAGAATGGTTATTCTAGAGCTTACGTTGGAGGCATTAAATTGGTTCAGCTCTAGGCATACGACTGACTTTTGGATAGACTGTAATTTAGCCAAAATCCAACAAATGTGGAAGCCATCCCAGCTGCCCCTTTAACGCATGCAAATGAATATGACACAGTAGCTGGAACTAAAATTAAACCCACCTAAAGTGCATCCCACACCATAAGATGAATATTCAAACATCTGTTTGGATCAACTCATATTTCAAACATTTTGAAAAAAAATATACGTGCATACAGTTTTGGGGGCCTGTATAGGGACATGCCAGGGAGGCAGCAGAGGAGAAACCCAGCCCACTCGCTGATGAGCTGCCAGCTCTAGGGAATGTATGTAGAGGTAAAGCCTTGGTGGAAAACTAGCTCTTAAACCAGACACTGAGACAAAGCCCAGACCATCCACGGAGACGCCATTCCCAGCAGTCGACCAAAGTCACCGGGGAAGATTTTTAGGTTCTGCTAGACTTTACTTCCCTGAGTTTAGGCCACGCCCTTCTTGAAACCTTTAGTGACCCTTGCTGGCCTTCAGCTAGTAGCGCTTAATTACTGGGCAGGTTATTAACATCCCAGGTGCCTCGGCTGCTTCTCTGCGAAACGAAGACAACCTTCTAGTCGACGTTAGTGGATGTGAGGACGGTATGAGTGGGTCCCCGGGGGTCACCTCGCAGAGGCGGGTCAGCCTGGTGGGGCCTGGGAGGCGGGGGCAGTGGGGATGTACACACCTGGCACCAACTGAAAGAAGCGCAAATCCTCTCCCTAGAAACGCACACGTGTACACGCCCACGGTCACACACGCAGCTTTGGCTTCAAGACCTTCATAGAGTCCCAATGCCCATGCGTGGCTCCTTGGGGGTCCTTAGATCCCGGGTTAGCACCCCTTATTTTAGACACAGCATTTAACAGTTAATCAGGAGCACAGCGTAAGGACTGAGTAAAGCTGCCTTCAAAGAAGAAATTAATCAACCATAGGAAACATTAATTAAAGATAATCTTCTGGAGTGGATTTAGAAAGATGACGGGATTCTTAATATTACATACAATATGTGCCCACATGTATTATCTATTCATGCACACACTCTTTTGTCTGAGCCTAAAGAACTATAAAGGTACAAATTTCTTAAATATGAGCTGCTCTGAGTGAACAGAGCTGACTGGAACCCAAAGAAAGCTGTTCAGAAAGGCAGCCCCTCGCAGTTAACAGGGACCTACACTGTCCATAAAACCCCTGAGAGTAGGAGAGAAGAGAAAAATCCTCTTTCCATGTAAGCTTATTGACTTAGAACACAAAGCCAACTGTGGGCTCCATCTCTCCAGCTCGGCCTCCTGGTCAATCCCTGGAGCTCACGTCTGCAAAAGCCAGCTGCTTGGCTCTCTGGGCGGACCCGATGCCAGGGCACAGCTTCTGCACTGGCCTTCATCCTGGGTGTCCCGGCCCAAGACTCACGCCTCTCGGGGCCTGTCCTGACTCTCCCAGCCTCCTGGGTGTCCCAAAAGCACTGCCGTGAAGCAGACCCTCCAACCGGGGGAGCCGCACACCCCGAGTCTCGGTGGGCCTGCCTGGGACAGCAGCCGGAAAGGGGCCAGGCTTTTCCGCCTGGAACCCCGGAATCCAAGCACACAGCCTGGTGCTCGGCAGATATCTACATTCCATTCCCTGATGAATGAGCAACTCTAAAAGCAACGTAGAGAGTGGGAAGACCTGCCAAGCACCCAAGAAAACAGCTGCCTTCAAAATGCGCCTTCTTATTTTTTTAATAATCTGAAACGAGAACCAATCCACTAAGAATTCCGATGTGAACAACCTTCTTATCAGCAAGGATTAAAGGTACAGAGTGACAGCAAGGGCTATGAATATCACTCTTCTGGTAAGTGGTGACAAACACTCTTTAAAATGCATGCAGACCTCCTGAGCTAAGCCCAGGGTGCCTGTCACCCACAAGTCCTAGGTCTGTAAAGAATAAAAAGACGCATGTGGACTCTTAAGAGGCTTTCTCTCAGTACAAGGTGTGGAGAGGTGTCACCTGTCCCCTCTGCGTCCTGTGCCTCTGCTCAGTTTAATGTCCACCCTGCTGGCCAGTCAATTTCCCCTTTCTGGTCTCTGGCACATTTCCTACTTCAGCTGTACCAATACAAAGGAACTTAGATTTTCTTCCTTCCAAGGTTGTGAACAATGGAAAAGTTTGATTTTTGTGAACGGATCTTAAAAATAACAAGCGATCAGTAGAAAAGAGGTCAGTGATGCAACTTTCTCTTTCTGACTCCCATGCTCTGGGACCAGCAACCCACCGGCCCTGCTTCCCGCTGCCACATGCCTCGGGATGTCCCAGTCGGACAGCGCTGCACAGACACAGCGCACGTTCAGTTGCCTGGGGCAACGGGAAAGCCCAGCGCCACAGCGTAAAAGCGAGTGAAGCCACCCCCACCTGGCGCCTGGCGAGGTACTCACTGGTCATGCCGCGTGTCGGGTATGCCTCTGTCCATTCGAAGCTTATCGCTCTCCACCTGGTTAAACTTGTTGCGGGCATAGGGGTCCTGCCCAGAGCGGACCATCGTCCCTCCGACGTACGCCTCCTGGTTGAAGTCCGGCCACCGTACTTTCCCTAAAAAAAAAGCAAAGCAGAAGGTATGGGACGGCGGGGAACGTGCCCAGAGTGCTCATCACGGACACTGCAGTAAGTGTGACCTCTAGAAACAGTGTCCACGGCTTCGTCACAAACAACGAACCTGCCGAAGCAGCCCGAGCCAGCAGCCTCATGGCCACGGGCCTGAGAACGGGAAACTAGATGTTTGCTGCTTCCAACGTGAGAATTAAAGGCTGGGAGTGCAGGTACCCACCCAGTGAGCAAAGCAAAATTAAAGTAACTATGGCACCATTTATGTTTTCTATGAAAGGAGATATTCTCTGCTTGTCCCACCTTTCTAGGGATTACGGTAATGCCCAAAGCATCTCAGGTAGGGTGAAAAGATAATGTATACATTAAACATAAGGTATCCCACCATGTAACATCAGGTAACACAAAAGTACATGTCTAAACAAAAAATAACACCCACCCCCCCTCCCACCCGCAAAGAACAAGATATCAAAACATCTCTCAGTGAGATTGTCTCTGGGGTCCTTCTTGCAGCTGTCACCACATGTGACCCCACAGGGAGAAGTGAATGGTGTGGCTCACAAAGGTGCCCCCAGCATGCACAGCGGGGACCTGGCCATTCCTAAAACACATGTCATAATTTTTCTCTTCCTGGAGGGAAGGCAGGTAAGGCCGCCTGACCATGCATGGACACGCCGACCTGAACCCGCGCATATGCTGCCACTCTGGAAAGCCAAGCACAGGTTCTCCGAGAACACACCACGCTCTGCAGAGTTTTTACCAGGTACCTGGGGCAGGGGCAGTGCTGACGGCAGACAGGCATGCAGGGTAAAGAGCTCAGCGAGGTGGGTTAAGTCTAGACGAGCTCAGGTTATAACAAAGGCAGAGCCAGAGAAACGAGTGAAGAAGGCATGATGCTCAGACAGCAGAAAAAAGGTAGAAGGAAAGAAGAATTGGAGGCAAAGAGACAATTCAGGACTTGGTGTCAACCCTGGGTTTCCATCAATTACTGTCCCCACTTGCTGCCTACGTGATCTTGGACAAGTTATTCGTTCTTTGAAATTAAGTTTATTACAAAACAAACAAACAAACAAAAAACAACGTATTTCATGAGGATTCAATGGCCTATGATGCTCCAGTTCTGTGAATATAACAAACTCAAAAAAAACAAAAACAAAAAATCCCCCAATAATAGCAAACTTGCCCACATGAAGCTCATAAAATTTCCAGTGGTTGTAAGTGCTATGAAGTCACATAAGGCTTGTTGAAACGGCAGGGGGTACTGGGGTTGCTGATTTATACAGGGGATCTAGAAGGTTCCTCTAACAGGGTGACTTTGAGTAGACACCTAAACAAAGGCAGGGAGCGGGCACGCAACTCCTGGGAAAGAGCGCAGGGCACTGCAGCGCCGAGGTCCTGGGGTGGGCACGCGTGTGTGCGCTCAGGGACCAGCCGGGAGGTCAGTTTGACTAATGGAGTGTGGGGGCAGGTGGGCAGTCAGAGCCAAGGTCAGAGGGGAAAGGCAGGGCTGTACGGGAACAGGCGAGCAAGAGGAGTGATAGCTTTTCTGCAGCGTGTCAACCCTTGGGCTGTTGAGTTGAGATCAACACCACCACGGCATAGCAACAGCATGTGTAGCTACAAATGCGCTTTCCCACCAGGAGTCCCTCGGCAAACCATGGTAAGAATGTCCCGTCCCTTCCTCTACTTCAGGGCTGAGCAAACTGAGATGCGGTTACACATGATTTGTTCAAGACGGAAGAGTAAATTTTCCATCTAAAAGCTCATCTGCTTCTTGTTGCAATTGTCCTGCGAGGTTAAACGCCCCCATATCTCATCACAGCTGGTTGCCGTGGAAATGATATTTGGGGTCACGGAAGCCTGGCCTCTCAAATAGGAAATCAGTTCCAAAGCCCACGAGCCTGGCTCCAGCGATGACAGCGTGGCCCTGATAAATGTCTGGCTACGGAGGCTGGTCAAAGTGTCAGCGTTTCCTTCCACCTAAAATAAAATGCTTCCAAAACATTTTATTGGAAACATGTTTACCGTGCAAAGGCAACCCTAAAAATACTTAGGGATCTCCCACTCTCTCCCCATCTTCCTGCCTTCTCCCTCACATATTTTCACAGATGAGAAGGGAAAAAACACCCACCTGCGCTAAAGAACAGGCAGACCCTACTCCTCACCGCGTGAGTTTACCCCTCACAGATGACCACACAACAGGGCTTTGAAAAACCTTTGATAAAATCTACACCAGCTGCACCTAGGACAGAATTCAAATGAGCTGGTTCTAACGAACTTGTTTAATGTCCTAAATACTGGTCACTGCACCAAGGAACTTTGAACTATGGAACAAGGAACCATGATGGATGCCCCTACCCAACCCACAGCCAAGAAGAGTCATCACCCAAGAGGTGTTTCATCTCATAGCGTAATTTTGCTCACACCTGTTGCTGCTCACCTGCTGTGTACAAGGAGAGCAAGCGGCCAAGTTGAGCTCTGGAAGCTTAAATCGATCGCATTCCCACCTGCACATCTCTTTGTGCTGTGAAACCCCCACCCGCTTTCTGGAGTGAGACACCATGACAGCAGAGGGTCGAATGTCAAGCTGTCTAATGTCAATCCATCGTGGGGAAACTAAGACGTACAAACCATCAGTGTACACAAGATGTTGACTATGTGCTGGACATCATGCTCGTCCTGCAGGGACAGGTGAGCAAAGACTGGCCTGAGGCCCACGCTTGTGGAGTCATGTTCTAGGAGGTGGAGGGAGGCAGGCGATAATCAAACAATCATACTATAAATGTGTCAATAAAACCTGTGCTCAGTGTTCCATGGTGAGAAATGCTGTTCCATGGAAGCATCTGATGGAGGAGACTTTATCTAGACCGGGGGGTCAGGGAAGGCTTCCCTGCAGAAGGAGTATTTGAGCTGAGATTTGAAATAATGAGTAAAAATAAACTAAGAGAAGCCCTTCGAGACTTCACAGAAATACCATCTTTCTTCAACATCCAAAGACTGTAGGAGCTTAACTGACAGGTACCCAACTGCTACCTTTTCCTTTGACACAGGAACATCTTCAACAGGACTCTGTTGGGTGGGCCCTGCCTTGCCTGGTGACAATCTCCCCGAGGCACAAAACCACTTTACTAGAGACAGATTACAAACAACAGTATTTCTTTCATAAAAGCTAAGCAGTATGTCAGACTACTACGGATGACACACATCTTACGATATGACCCCGATGTCACAATGCAAACACACACACACACACACAACTGATACTAACTCACCCCTCGCTCTATGAGATGAACAGATACATTCTTGTATCTGGGTGTGTCTCATGAAATTGGCTTCACCATCTAATAATGGGTCACAGTCCAGAGTGTGAAACACACTGGGCTAAAGAACCACTACAAAAACTGGTTATTAATTATATAGAATTTCGAGAGCTAGAGGAGGCACCCTAGGAGGCAGAGGAAGGAAAAAGCATAGAGAACAAGGTTCACGGAGGACACGTACACCCCGGCGAGGGCCCTGCAGGAAGGGAAGTGGCAAGGGACACAGGTAGCTGAGAATTCAGAGTATAAGTTAGAGGTTACAAAGAAACAGGCAAATAACAGATTAAATGTCTGAATATTTTGACTTTCTAAAAAATGACATTCATACGTCATCTTATGCTTCTGTCATTTCTTTAAAATGTCTAGAAACGGTTTGGGGAATTAAAGACGTTTTAAAAAACTAAAAAATATGTGAGAATCCAGCCAAAATGGACTTAGCTAAGCAGAAGCAGCCGATGGAAAATGCCTCCAAGATATGACATTTCACAGGGGGAGGGAGAAACCAGCTTTATCACCAAAGATGGCGGGAAAACAAGGCACACATTTAAATAACATGAGAAAAGGTATTTAAATAACATGAGAAGAGAAAGGGAACATGACCCCAAGAAGGGCTGTGAAAACAGCTTGCTTATGAAATAAGGTAATGAAAATATTTATGAGGAAATTTATTTCCAGAAGATGGACTTCTCTTTGAAGCCGAGGAAGGAATCGTAAGACCTCGCGCATGCTGAAACCCAATTCTGTAAAGATGAGCCTACAGAGGATTATTCTGCAGAAAGGATGGGCCATCTCTCTGCCACCCTGTCCTGACCTGCGGGGGCTGGAATGAGAATTGCCACCACAACCCAGCCAAGCCCTCGGGCCGTCCCAGGTTCCCTGCTTGCTCCCTCTCCAGTAACTGCAAGTGGCCAGAGCAGCCCTCCCCACCTCCAAGGCCACTCCTGGCGCTGGTGGCCCTGCGTATGTCCTGTGGGCACTCGTCCTCACGCTGCTCCAGGCTCCCCTTCCCAAGGGGCTGAGGACAGAGCTCCTTGCATCGCAGACCCGACCTCACCCATGGCACCCTGAGCACCCTGCACATGCACCTGTCCACAAACACCTGTCGACTGCTTTACCACTGCTTTTCTCGTCCTGGGTCTAAGGTGGTTGATCATAAAAATATCAACCCAAATCCTGCATGAGACTCGGGAGGACACGGCTTCTTATTGGCGCTTACAAATCTCATCGCTACGTTGCTGTGACAGCCCCATCCGAGAAACATTCTTCCCGTGTGCAGGACGGTCACTCCTACACCCTCGTTCCACGTGTCTGCAGATATTTTTTAATGGTGCTCAACACTGAAGCTTGCTGGCCCCTCCAAGTCTGCCTCCCATGCTCATGTGGAACCAGTGAGGTCAGGGGTCAGAGCGGGGAGTGGGCTCACAGGGGTCCAAGCCAACGTCCGTGTCGCCAACGGGGCTTGAAGGGACCACAGCCCGGCGCTTCAAGCTGAGACGACCCACACACAGAGGACGCAGCCCAAAGCCCGAGGCCTGAGCATGTGTGTGGTTCCAGCCTGTGGTCCTCCAGCCTGTGGTCTGCGTGAAATCAGGGTAACAGACCACCGCTGCAGTGGCTATAAAAAGTAACTGGAATGACAGCAGCGAAAGTAATTGCCACGCTACTGAC